TCAGTGCACGGCGCCCCACCGACCCCCGCCACACTGACCGGGCACATAACCTGACCAGCATGCGGGCTGCCATCTTCTACGGGGCCCCAACTGACCAATCACAGGGCGAACCGGAGTCTCTGACACTGCAACCGGCCAATCGCTAACCGTCCTATAGATCCCGTATCGGTGTAACCAATCACAGGCAACATGTATGGACGCAGACTAGGCCATTCAAACTATTCTAGGAGCAAGAAGTTGAAAGCTGTCAGTCAGAGGCGGGGCGCGGCTCCCGTAGCGGACACCTATTGGAGAGGGAGTGTGGCTGCTTACTAGAGGGGCGGGGCTACAATTATCTGATTGGACGGGAAGAAGAACTAGCTCACGATAGCTCCACCCGTTATTGTCTTGACCCGGAAGGGACTACACATGGAGTACTGAGCGTGTGCGGTTTGGGTCCTGGGGGCTCTTCAAGGTTAGTGAGGATCAGCAAGGCATGCTGGGACTTATAGTGTGATAACTAGCTATTTTTACAATCCTAGTGAGCCAGCAATGGAATTATTTTCATTTGTTTTATCTAACTTTGCATGTGGACAAGTTTTTGTTTTGTTTTTAGAACGTTGTGCATTCATCTGAATTACAGAATGTTTCTCTCGCCTTGCAGATATCATCTACCTGAGCCAAGATGTTCTTTGCTGGAATTCGGAGCCTGGTCTCTACGCCCTGGACATGGGGTTAGTCCGTTCTTCCACATGATCCAATATTACAAAGCCTAAAGGTGGCCACACGCGTATTAATATGATTATTGGGCAGCCTCCACCCCCCCTCTGAAATGTCATCTGTGATGGACTGCTTTTCAGAGGCTGGCAGAGTGGCAGCTGATTGTTGTTCATGAGGTGGTTCGGCCTTTTTTTTTTTTTTTTTATTATCCCGATGGGGATCTTCCATTGCAATACCACACCATAACCGCCTACCCTGGCAGACGAGGAGACAGTCTTTATTTGCTGCTGTTTTAATCATCAATACATCATTAAATGTATTTTTAAGGCTAGGTTCACACGTGCACGACACCTGGGGCGCGTGCCCCTGGTATCGTGTGGTCCTGCACAATGCAGGCGGCTCCATTGATTTCAATGGGGTGACGTCCGCACAGCAATCGCAGAAAAAAGGTACAAGTACCTTCTTTTTGTGATACACGACACGCGGCTGTTTCGTGTTCGGAAGCACAGGCGGAATACCACGCGATCCGCCCGGCGCGACTGGGGTGCCACTAGCAAATAATAGCACCCACAGCGCGATAGGTTCACACTTTGTCGAATCCTGACCGCGGTGTGAGGTGTCGCCTAGGTGTGAACCTAGCCTAAATGTAAGCAATGTATGTGCCTGCGTTTGACCTTGCATCAGCCTCTGTACAGCAGAGCTCAGAGAGGGGGTGGGAGAAACAGCACAAGAAGTATGCTGATAGCAGGAAAGGGCTGAGATGAGCTTATCAATATGCCAGTTCACTGTCCAGTCACATGGTGGGGATGGGGAGGAGACATGTAAGTAAAAGTGAAACTGCAGCAGAAAAGGATTGAGTCCCCTCATCTGCCACCTCATACTTGGCTGTGTGTCAGAACTGTATAGACAGGCATATAAATCCATTAGCAGATAAAACAACTGTCATATATGTATGTATTTCACATGTGTATTGAACTGTTTGCTTAGAGTTCAGCTTGAAACACAGATCTAAGTTACTCGTTTGAAAAATTGGATGGTGGTCTTCCGTTTTCTGGCTGCATTTGAAAATGACAACCACAATCTTATTTATAACAACGGGGTCACAATATCATACGAGCTAGCTTTTATTAATGGGAGTTATTAAACTTTAAAGTGGCCCTGTCACTAAAACTAAGGCTGCACCTGCAAGGAAGTACATGGATAATCCTCTCTCTTGCTGACCTCGCTTCTGCAATGAAGAGAAATCGCTCGCTGAAGAATCTTCTTGACCTCCTCAGTGTTTCCCCCCCCACTGACCCCCTACATCACTAGAAGACACAGTAGTAATGTAGGGTTGGTGGAAGGAACCACGCAGCACATTGGGGGACCATATGTTCTAATTTGCAGGTGATGTTTTATTTTAGCTTTAAAGGAGAACTATGGGGTTAGGGCTTTTCCCCATAGTTCTCCTAAGGGTCATGTGCGAACACAAATTAGTGTCCTCCCGTAACCCAAAGCTCAGTATACCGCGAGCTACAGTTCGCAGTATACTGAGACGCCGCAGCCGGAACAGATCCCAACATTGCTATCGAGATCCACCCAGATCTTGATAGCAGTTTGACAGCAATGTGACAGTTTCATTGTCACAGGCCGGCTCAGATTATGAGGCTGAGTGAAAATCACTCACCCCATAGTTCTCCTTTTAACAACTGAGATTTCTCAATGGACATACATTTACCACTAAAGTTTCCTTCTCCACATCTAAA